ACAGTGCACACGTTTCAACTTCTCTATCTACTGCCTCACACACATGAACACAACATTAAAAAAAGGCATAAAAGTTAAAAGAAAACAGTTCATATCAAGGAGCTCATCTACTTGAACACATGTCGTACTTCGAAAAATTTTTGTACAAAAAAACAAATAAAATCTGAACACAGCCACAAAACAAAAACACAGAATATTTTCTCTTTCTTCATTTCAATTAATAAAGAAAGTAGAATATAGTGGAGAGAGACCAGTGAGGATTGTTATTAAACTTGAAAACATGTTGGCTCTACATTATACACCCTGATTTTTTCGAAGGTGCTTTTCTTTAAATTTTCTTTCGATTCAGACATTCATCAACTGGTTTCAATGCTAATTGAATATGTGTAGCCGACAACTTTTGGCGTTTATTTATTGTTCTATTCGACGCAGCAGACCGTTTTTTTCTATTATTATTGTTTATCGTATCCGAACTATCGACTTTAATTATTACTAACGAGGTTACCGACGATCTTGTTGCTTTAATTTTTTCTAATTCATTCAACAATATTGGATCTGATCTCATCCTAATTGTCAATTTCGGTATTTTTTTTGGTTGCTGTTGTTGTTGTAGTAGTTGTTCATAAGTCAGTTTATTTTGTCGTTTTACCAAACGACTTGATAAGCAACACTGATTTGCATCATTTAACAGTTCATCTTTATCTTCTGCACCAATATCCTCGTTGGATACAAATAAACTCGTTGTTGTCGTCTTTAAAGTTGGCAAACAGTCATCATTATCTGTCGATGTGGTAGTTGTTGTTGTCGTTGTACTCGATTGTCTACGAGAAAAACGGTTAACACGCCACTGACCAAACGTTGGATTTTTTGAAATATAATCATTTTCTAATTGAATATTTGTGATTGATGATATTGACGAGGATGAAGAGTATTGTGATCGGGTTCTTGTTCGCCGTTGTGATAAAGAATCTTGTCCCTGTGGTTCATTTGATGGTGACGGAAGTACAAGTTTTTGATGTGACTAAAAAGCAACAAAGAACTGCAATCAAGAGCAAGCTTTTCCCAAATAAATGCTTGTTGACTCAATAGTTTTCGATAACACTTGACATACAGCGATGGATCATAAAGTTTACCTCTAAATCTTACGATACATTTTAAAGCTCAATATGTTGTGCCTAGTTCAATATGCAACACATCGGAACAAAAGAACACCATTTGTTTACCTGTTCTTCAAGCTCTACTTGCTCTATTTGCCTAGTAGATGATGACATAGAATTGATCGTGCCGTCCGAAAACGCTGAATCGGATGCTGTTGATTGTTGTTGATCCTGATCACTTGACTCTGAAGACAAACGATGTTTAGATATAGAACTGAAAATATTTATGGCATGTGATGATGAATTATTGGTCTGTAATAAATAATTTGGTTTTGTTCGAAGACTCTGAAGAACAATCTTCTTTTTTCGCTTGTTTTCTTTTTTATGTTTACGTTCTGTTTTTAATCGAGTTGCTATACCGACGTTCTAAACAAACAACATCAAGACACTTCTTCAAGTGTTATTACCACTCAAAAATATTGTAGCAAAATGATCAATGGCAAGGTAAAATATAAACCTACTTCTTGTTGTTCTTGTGCTTTCTTCTCTCTTTGCCTACTTCCGTACGAGTGGTATTCGGCATTATGACTGAAGTCATGTGATGGCAGTAAACCGCAAGAATACACGACTGGACATCGATGAACAGGATGATGATTTTTCATTGTCATTTCTAAATAATTAGAATGTACAATGTCAGATTGTAGTTAGAAAGTTCAATTTGACTATTAATTACTAATAATCAGTCTGTCAAACATCTTAATGTCAGCACAAGCGCCAAATAGAAATGTTCGTTCATCTACTTCTTTCATTATCGATTTTCTACCGATTATTTAGTTCTGAGAAACAAACAGAAGTAAAACAGCTATATGAATGCGAAAGAAAAAAGGCTACTGGCACTATATCTTAGACTATTACAAAAAACTTACAAAGTTATACGAAAAAGATGCGGGGTTTTTAATTAAAACTAAATACTTCGCATATAAACAGGCAACAGGTAGTAGATTTAATACCAATCCATAATACAGTAAATGAAAAAGATGAACTTATAATCAACGTACTAATAATTTCACCTGTCAATTTGTGTAGTGTGGAGGAATGATTCTATTTCGATTTGAAAGAAGAATACTCTGCCTTGCGGCTACCACTGCCGGTACTAGGGTGCTGACACATGTCAGTTTCAGTTCTCCATCGATCTGGCTCGGGGCTCCAATTCCCTTAATCAAGAGAGTCATGTACGATAAAAACATCAACTACAGGTAATACCTTTGGATGAAGAGGCCGCGGCGGGATCAGATGAACAAATTTTACGTAAACGGTGCTTTGTCTCACGCAACAGATAATTTTGATTTGTTGATGATGCTGATAGAGGTAATGGACCATTTTGAGCAATTGATGTAGATAGATTTGTGGTTACTGTCCGACTAGCTGTTGAGAATGCGCCGTTACATCGTCTGAGTGAGAAAAAAAAACACATGGATTTTTAAAAGAAATCAATGCAGCGAGTGGCATCAATAAAACAAGCTAATCGCAGAATGATTCTTGTAGTATCTACACCAAATATCTATACCAAAATATGTACGAAAAATCCCGGCTAATGAATAAAGTAGATCAACCGAAAATACGAACATTAATATTTTCCATTTTCATGTTTTTGTGCTTTCAATTCATGGTTAGAAGTAAGTTGACAATATCTGCTTTAACTTTTACTTAACGTACTGTTTCTCGTATGTAAACTTGTGCTTGAAATCAACGAGCGCCATCGGTGAGAATATACACGAAAAAAAGTGAAAGTGTCAAAATTCTTGTTGTTTAATTCTACCACAAAGAGTGCGAAAAGCACACCGGTAGCGTAGTCAGAAATGGTAAAGAGAAATGTTAGTTTACCTCTCACATGTAACACATTCACAATGAGAATTGTTATCGCCAAAAAAATCCCCGCCATAAAAACATGTAATTTCTTCACCAGCTCCAATATTTCGTAGAACATAAATGTAAGCAGAACTAATGCCGGTTGCAACAAACTAAAAATTGTCAAATTCGTTAACGTTTTCTTCTATCGTGCTACTAAGAAGGTGAAATCTTTACAGATTTTCAGTTTACACATCAACATACTTTACAGTTAGGTTTACAATCATGATTGATATAAGCGGCTGGGCCGGGCCAAAGTTGAGAACATTTTTTTCTACAGGAATACATGACGCTAAAATCATTCACACCTGGCTTTAGAAATGCTTGTTCTTCCTCTGGACTCAATTCAGCAATACATCCAATTAATAATTCAATTTTCTCATTAGCTAACCTAAATGTGCAGATGTCATGATATAAAATAAGAAAAAGGTAAACATACGTGACATTCACCATTCTTTTGTAGCTATTACTTTTCCTCCACAGTTTTCTGACGAATAACGATTACATGGTTGCAATGTTACACCCGAATTTGACTTAAACAAATGTAAGAATCGAAATAGCTAGAAAACATAGAACGAACACAAATAGTTTTATATAAATTTAAAAGTCAACAATATTACGTGTTCTTTGAACGCTAGCAACTGCGATGCGCTCTTCCTGACTAATAGTTGTGCATACCAGTTCCCATTCGCTGTCACTTCATCGAAGCATTTATCATAATCGCCATGAGTTCCAAATCGAAGAACAGCTTTTTTCCACGCTGGTAATAAACGTCTATTGGATCGAAATCTACAATCAAAACTAATACGAATAAAGAGAAGATGTGTTAGTACTGATCATACCTGACATTCATTTTGTGTGTTGAGAAACCAAATATAGAATCGGCCACAATCATTGTAGCATAATCGTCATTTTCGCTAGAGAAAGCATACAGTACATGTTTTATGTGAAGAATAATGCAGGGAAACAGATATTACCATAAATCAGCAACTATCCGATTGAGACCAATATACATCATAAAAAAAAACCCAGTTGATATTATTAGAATTATTAAATTTAACACAAAAACGTTGCGGCCGATATAGTTACATTTTGTTGTAGAATAAACTTGACGAAGATAGTTTATCTGAAGGTTAGAGATTTTAGGAATTTTTTTTGAATTTATGCTTTCTTTTTTCTCCATAAAATATATTTGTATGGTATTAACCTGTCTTTTTACAGCAATTTATTAAAATAAGAAACTCTTGCCTAGAAGTTTTGGGAGTAGCTTTTCTAATAAGACAGTGTACCCATAAAATCGAGTGTGCAGTACGCAAACGAAATTAAGCCAGTCTTTTTAATTTTGGTACACTTTATTATGAAAAACAGAGTGTACGCATACATTTTCGCCTCGATACGAAATGCACTGTCATTCACGGGGGTTCATTTCTGACAGTGTGGCTTATGTTTTCATTAATATGTAAATATGTACTATGATAGGTAGTCATTTGTAGAGAATGTGTTAGAAGTACTTTTGAGCACGGCTTCGCTACTAGAGAAGCGACTAGTCGATATGAGCTACGATTATTGATGAACAATGTTTTACTCGAATTAAGACAAACAACGTGAGGTTTTTGATACCTTCATAGGGACGCTTTTCTCCTTTGGGCATATCCTTTTAAAAAGATTTCATGTGTACTCATATAAAGCAGAACCTTACACTCAAGAGCAAAACGACTCAGAATGGTGGGCGTTACTTGTTAGTAATGGAACACAAGATTAAAAAAAGTATACTTATACTAGACTCTCTTCTTGTAGGTACAATGTTTTGCGTTATGTTTACTGTCAGAAATATACCTGTCTAAATAGCGAACAAAATGGGTTCATTTCTCACAGTGAGTGTGTGTTCAACCGAACTATTCACCCACTTTTGCCATTGGTAGGATAGCGGAAAATTCATCCGGTTGAAGCAGGTAACTTACACACTGTAAAAAAAACCGCACATTTAAACCGTCCTAACTTAAACGGTTTAAAAGTCAAAATCTGACGCTTTTTCAAGCCTAACATTTTATCCGTTCTAACCAGTGTTCCCGATCAGGGGAGGGCCAGCCCCTCCTGGAAATACTTTTGAACTTTCTGGCAAAATTTTTGACGTTCTATATACCTAGATGCTATAATGCGACTTTTTACCTACTTAAAGTAGCTGGGGTATTTTCCATTGGTCAATTTTCGGCTAATGATGAATCGAGATTGGCAGGTGAGTTACTAGTCCACTTTCGAACATATCAATACTTAGAGATCGATTTTCTCAACAAAATCAAGCAAATTGTTGCCAAGATCAATTTCTTTGAAGAACTTTGCCCGTTTTCGTAAATTTATACAGGTTATTCTCACGAAAATAAGTTACATAAAATTTAATCTAGTTGATCTAGTTTGTCGAAGTGTAGTCAGAGTTTGAAAAGAATATTAACATATTTACTAACTAGAAATGTACGTGTTATATAATACCGACGTCAACGAAATATATCACATCATTTGACAATCTATGTTTTTCTTTATATTAGCATACACATTTCTCCAATTGGTACTAATGATAGTATCTCATCACACAAGTTCGAGTGTTTCTACCTATTTTCATTTTTTTTGTTAAATACATGAAGCCGGACATTTGCTCGAAAACTAGTATAAATTAGGTGATACATAAAATGACATAAAGACAGTTTATGCACTCAAATATTGCGAGATCTAAAGCATGTTTATCTTAGCATAAGCTTAATTAGATTTTTTATTAGAGAAAACGACCAAGCTTGAAACAAACAAGTACATCGAGGATCAAATCTGATTAGTTATATTAAATGCTGTCAAATTTTCGCACCGATAGGCTATTAGATATGGCATTTTTTGTATTAGCTTTACTATCC